CAGCTGCTTTAGCGCCGTGGGGCGTGGAGCTCTGCGCCAGTCCTTTTGCCCGCGGTCACCCACACTCAGTCCTGATTCAGTTCTGGTTTAGTCCTTGTCTAGTCCGAGCCTTAGTCCGCGTGTGTCACGCCTTCCCAGTGGCTCTTTGGCGCTTCCCAGGGGAGGCGAGCCTCTAAACCTATTGAAAAACCGCTGGGCAACACTAAAGTAGCTCCAATTAGTAGCTAAACTTTTAGCTCAAAGCTGTTCAGTTAACACAGTTTAAAAAACTTGACATTTCGTTAACACAGTAGATGGCCAAAGTAACAATCATTAGTCCCCGCTGTAGTTTATCGTCAGTCAACTGTTTTCTGTCTCTCAAAGGCAGTCCTTTCTCTCTGTCCACGGTGTGTCTCTCATTGAGCTGTTACACTGAGCGCCCCTGCAGGTTTGGAGCAGGCGACTCTTTATGCAGCGTTTTTCTTTTGCAGGTGTTTTCTTGGTTTTCATCGTTTCCATTTCAGCGCATGCATATGAAATTTGTTTTTGATTTGCGTTTCTGTTTGACTTTTCATGTTTCGCCACCGTACCTACAGCTTCACTCTGTCCAACCTCAAATATTTCACCAAAATAAAATCAAACGTTTCACTCCAATTACAGTTAATTACATTAACTGGAATGGGAGCAGGTCAAACTGAATTTCCACAGGTGAAAGTACTTCAGTTAAGAATATTATTTTACTTGGAGAAATGAGACAAGCTCCTATTAGAGAGAAAACAACTTTTCTGAATCAACAAACATGAACAGCTCATGGATGAAATGTAAAAGAGCAAAAGAGCTCCTCTTCTAATGTTCAGGCTCATTCAGAGACGATTTCAGACCTTCTCTCAAATCTGATGAACCACATTTAGTGCTTCACCTGTTCATGTTCAAGAAGCTCACACTGTTTCAGCCCTTTGTGTGTTTGTGTCTCATTTCTAAAGTTCCTTGATGCATTCGAGTCTGTCCAAATGAAATCAGCTGTTTTCAAGGAATCTCCCCATGAGCATCTCAGATTTGTCTAAAAAAAAAAACTTAAAAAAAATAAAATAATAATCTAAAATGACCAAATGAAAGAATCTAAAGTTTTAGCTCAGTCCCTTGAGTTGTTCCTGAGTTTTGGCCCGTTGAAATTTTGGGGTCATGTTCACTTTTTCAGAAACCTTCATTTATAATCATGTTTGAGACCAGAACTTCATCAAAATAGAGCTTGGAACATTTGTACATTTGTTTTATTGTAGATTCTGAATCTGTTGTCAAATATTGTGTGTCTTTTTTTCAACTTTTGAGGTCCAAGATCTATTTACTCCAAGCAGATCTTTACAAACTAACTGAACCTGAATATTTGAGACTCTACACCATCCACATGAAAACTCAGAAAAGTGTGAGATTTGTGTCAGAAATGGTCGTTCTCTCAAATATGTTCACAGACCAGGTTTGATCTTTTTGGCCCCTTCTTTGGCCCCTCGGTTCCTCATGTGGCACAGTTAGATGTGGATAAAATTTTTACCAGAGAAACTTTGGCAGATTCTGATTAGTTTAAAGTCATAAAAACATCGACTATTAACTTCCTTCATTTCAAACAGAATTTTGGAAAATGAGTCTCACGGGTCATTTTTGGAGGAGTTTAGGGACTTTTCCACCTGATAGAAAACTTAAATTCCCTTTAATAGACTTAAACACTAACTGCTTGTTATAAGAGAAGACAGTTGGAGATTATTTGTGGTACATTCCTTGGAAAAGTGTCTGTGTTATTTTAAATCTTATGAATCATTTAAAATATTAATCATTTGTTCTGTGTGTGTTTTTAAGTTATCAACAATTGCTTTTCGGGTTTTTCCATATGTATATCATATGTCCTAGTTCAGGAACTCCTGATTCTTTAAGCTAATCTATTTAGTCGCCCATGAGAAGCCAGCTAAGGGTTTTTCCCCTCATGTGGTTAGCATAAGTTTTGGGAGAAAACTGACTTCATTGTTTATCACCTGGAGCCTGTAATCAAGTGTGAGATGGGAGGGTGGTTTAGCCTAAAGATTGTTAGCATGTGATCATTGTAAACGTCGTGTGATATAACATAATGTACTGTATTGTTATCTGTAAAATGACTTGAATAAAACCTGCTGCTTGGGAGTGGCTGTCAGAGAGAAGTAGGGTCAGACGGCGTAGATGACAGCTTTTCTCTCCCTTGCGCAAGTGAATTACCGTCTCGTTTTGGTGTGTCTTTATTTAATGTAAATTAATGTCTTAGGGTATAATTCCCTGACAGTGTCGTTAAACCTTTGAGAAGATTCAACTATTAACAAAATTATGAAAAAAGGTTTGTTTGCATTATTTTTTCTGTTTTTATTCGAGAAAGCATTTGTTATCTCACAAAGAAACATTTTTTCACAGCGCCTCCTTAATAAAGATACACAATATTTGACAACAGATTTAGAATCTATGACCTAGAATCTACAATAATACACATTTTCTGTTTCCTAGCTAAATTTTTATGAAGTTCTGGTTTCTCAAAAATGCTCATAAAAGGTTTCTGAAAAAGTGAACATGGCCCCAAAATTTCGAAAGGCCAAAACTTAGGAACGACTGAAGGAACTGAGCTAAAACTTTAGATTCTTTCATTTGGCGACTTTAGAAATGGTTTGATTTTTTTCCAGCCAAATCTGAGACGGCTCACGGGGGAGGGCAGCTGATTTGATTTGGACGGACCCAAATGCGACACATAAGACAAGTCAAGCAACAACAAATGCTCTAAAAACACATTTTATTTTCTAATTCTAATATTTGACTTCACTTTTATTTTTATCACATTTATGAAAAGAATAAACATCTGTGAGCTGCCAACAAGAGTCAAAACAGAATAAAAAGACAAAATGCATGTTCAGGTTTGTGTCTGATTAGGGAAGTGCAGTGCAGCAGGACTAAAAACTCCAAGTGAAAAACAAAACCATGAAGAACAAGATGAACAAACTTCAGCTAAAACCTCAAATCAAAAAAATCTTTACATATCATTTAATTCAAATTCAAAAAGTTTATCGTCCCAGAGGTGGGTGCGGGCGAGGCGGGTGGTGTAGGTGCGGGCGAGGCGGGTGGTGTCGGTGCGGGCGAGGCGGGTGGTGTAGGTGCGGGCGAGGCGGGTGGTGTCGGTGCGGGCGAGGCGGGTGGTGTCGGTGCGGGCGAGGCGGGTGGTGTCGGTGCGGGCGAGGCGGGTGGTGTAGGTGGTGCTGGAGGTTGTTGTCTCTGCTCCACGTGTTCAGAAGTTCGACCTCTTGTAGTGAGTCTCGTCGCCCTCGATGATGAAACCCTCCAGAGTCGTGTCGTCATGAACTTCACCAGGCGGTCGGTCGGTGCTGTAGACGGTCGGTCGGTCGTTCTGCTTGTTCTCTCATTTTAAGCGTTTCATTTGTGACACTGCACAGAGCTCACGTCCTCAGTCCTGAGTCTCTGAAGCCTGATCTCCAGCTGTTCGAGTCTGACTTTAGGCGCACTTGATCCGGCCTCAGCGGCTCTTTCTCCTTTCGTGTGTTCCAGAGGCTGCAGCTTCAGATGAGCAGCTTGTCTCAAAGTCGTCCCACACTGGTCAGAGCTGCAGCTTTTCTCTTCACTCTGGAACATTTGGACATGTTTCAGAGGGTTCCTCACAGACCGGAAAGGCTTTCCTCTTTCTTCACACTCGTCTGGTTGGTCTCCTGTGTGCGCGTTCGTTGGTGATTGGAGAGCTCCTGGGATGTTCTAAAAGCCTTTCCACACTGGTCACACGCATATAGTCTGTCCTGGGAGTGAATTCTCATGTGTGCTTTGAGACGGGATGATACAGAGAAAGTTTTCTCGCACTGGTCACACTTGTACGCCCTCTCTCTTGTGTGGATTCTCATGTGTGACACTAGACCGTTTGACTGTGAAAATGTCTTCTCACAAACATCACACTTGTACGGCCTCTCTCCTGTGTGGATTCTCATGTGTGACACTAGACCGTTTGAGTGTGAAAAGGTCTTCTCACAAACATCACACTTGTACGGCTTCTCTCCTGTGTGGATTCTCATGTGTGACACTAGAGAGCTTGACTGTGAAAAGGTCTTCTCACAAACATCACACTTGTACGGCTTCTCTCCTGTGTGGATTCTCATGTGTGACACTAGACCGTTTAACTGTGAAAAGGTCTTCTCACACAGATCACACTTGTACGGCCTCTCTCCTGTGTGGATTCTCATATGAAAACGGAGGCCACTGGATTGTCTAAATCCCGTCCCACACAGATCACACTCGTAGGGTTTCTCTCCTGTGTGGATTCTCATATGCTGATGGAGGCCACCGGAGTCTCTAAATCCCGTCCCACACTGGTCACACTTGTACGGCCTCTCTCCTGTGTGGATTCTCATGTGTTGATGGAGGTTACCGGAGCGTCTAAATCCCATCCCACACTGCTCACACTTGTACGGCCTCTCTCCTGTGTGGACTCTCATATGTTGATGGAGGGTACTGGAGTATCTAAATCTCGTCCCACACTGGTCACATTCAAATGGTTTCTCTCCTGTGTGGATTCTCATATGTGAATAAAGACCACCAGACACTCTAAATACCTTCCCACACTGGTCACCCTCGTTCGGTTTTTCTCCTGTGTGGAATTTCATGTGTGTTACTAGGTAGTTGGCGCGTGAAAAGGTCTTCCCACACAGATCACACTTGTAGGGTTTTTCTCCTGTGTGGATTCTCATGTGTGTTACTAGGTAGTTGGCGCGTGAAAAGGTCTTCCCACACAGATCACACTCGTAGGGTTTCTCTCCTGTGTGGATTCTCATATGTCGATGGAGGCTATTGGAGTCTCTAAATCCCGTCCCACACTGGTCACATTCAAATGGTTTCTCTCCTGTATGGATTCTCATATGTTTATGGAGGCCACTGGAGTCTCTAAATCCTGTCCCACACTGGTCACACTTGTACGGCCTCTCTCCTGTGTGGATTCTCATGTGTATTACTAGGTGGCTTGACTGTGTAAAGGTCCTCTCACACAGATCACACTCGTAGGGTTTCTCTCCTGTGTGAGTTCTGTAGTGTACTTTCAGTTCGGACGGTTTTCGACACACTTTTCCACACTTGGTCACACTTGTACGGCCCCTCTCCTGTGTGGATTCTCATATGTGTTACTAGGCTGCTTGAGTGTAAAAAGGTCTTCCCACACAGATCACACTCGTAGGGTTTCTCTCCTGTGTGAGTTCTGTAGTGTACTTTCAGGTCGGAAGCTCTTGGACACACCTTTCCACACTGGTCACATGTGAAGGTCATTCTGTTGGTGGATCTTGTAGCTCTGCATTAGGACAAAGGAAAGAAAGTGTCAAGTAAAATCACTTTTTAAACTGTTCAAATAAAGTAAGTGAATAAATACACATAAAATCACACAGAGTGAATCATACGTAAGAATGTTTCAGTGTTTTACAAGCAAGTTCCATTTGAGTGAATGAATTTAACTTTGTATTTGATTTTAAAATCACACTTTTTCTGTCTGTAGCAAAAGATCAAATTAAGGAAACATAAACAGAGATATTGAACGACTTTGTTGTTCTGAATTCTAGTCCACCTGACCTGAACAGAGACATGTCATAATGAAGGGATGTGGGTCATTCCATGACGCCAAACCTCCGAATGCCCCCACCCGACCATCTCCAATTTGACTGAAAAAATTCTAGGAGGTTCCAGTCCCAAATTTTAGCTCCCAACACTTCACAGTTTTGTCATTAACCCATTGACGCCAGATGCTGCGCAGCGCTGAGTCTCCTGTCGGTGTTCCGGATTGTCTGGCGATCAGCGTAACTGGTAAAGGCGGAACCACATCTGGAAGCATGGGGGGGCGTGTCCTCCTCTCGCTTCCATTCACTCCCATAGAGAGACGCAAAACTGCCGGAGCTGTGTTGTCACGTTAAACCTTCTTTATCGTGGCGTATTATTTCCCCATTGAAA